TAGGTTTAGAGCTGAAGATTTAAATGGTTGGTCTCATCTTATGAAATTTAGGTTACTGTGTGTGTCTCAAGAACCTATCTTCTAAGCAGCTGATTTTCAGCATTGTTTTGCTGAGGTGCAGAACTGGTGGGGGGCAATTTTAGGAGAAACCAGACTGTCTTGACAGAGGTGAAGGATTCCATCTTAAAAGGCACCTTCAGCTGCGTGGTGCAGGCAGATGCACACTGTCAGGCCCAGCTGTTCACTGCAGACTTTGGGCATTAGGGTTACACCCTCCCTGGGCTTATTGGGTGCATGATTAGAATTTCTAAAGAAGATGTACTCCACAGGCGCCAGGGAACATTGTCTAAGGTTCTCTTTCAATTTTAGTGTAACTTATTTCTCCTCTAAGAAGCATTCTGTCCTTGTGACCAAGCATGCTCATAAACATGGTCTGTTGGCAATGTTTGTTCACTGTTTTGCTCTTATTTATGTACTCAGTTTTGCCCACAGGTTGAAAATGTTCAGCTATACTCCACAGAATGGCTCAAAAGCTATTGAGGAAATAATCAAGGAGATGAAGCATTCTTGTTCTGTCCACTCAGTCCATGCAGCAGCTCAGTGGAAATTGAAATGCCACTTGAAATATAGATTCAAATTTTGTACAGGAACTACTAAAGCTCTCTCATTCCCAGCAATTTGCGAAGTTCAACACAGCAGGCTCCAGCCTCTAGTACTGCTTCAAACTGCTGTTTTCTCTCTTTACTGCTAGCACAAGACTTCAGAAGAAACACCAATAAAGACTATAGAGAATTGAATATATAAAACCTATGGAGACTCATTAGCATTTGTTGACTTTTTGCCCTGTTTCACAGTGAATGACTCTATATAATTCAGTTCATCTAAGTACGATGAAGTAAGGAGCTCAGCTATTCCTTTTCTATTTTATTTTCTGTCCTTGACTTTCTTCCCATATGTTAAATGAATAAACACAGGAAAAATGTCAGTGATGACATGATCAGTTCCATTATTAACCTTCCCATAAACAGTCATGACTCCCATGCAGTTTGCCTTTATATTCATCATTCACAGAGTACCTTGCTAACAAGCTTGGCAAAAAAGACTTGTGAAAACAAAAATGAGAAATCAATTATCTTAAAACGTTTTCCTGAGATGTCTCTTGTTTGCAATGCTTACTGGTTTAAAGCTGTATATCATTGTGGGGGATCCTGCACAGTAAGGATATGTGTGTGTGTGTATATATATATATAATGTCTCTTTGTTGGAACTGTAAATAGCCAAGGATGGATCTGTAGCCCTCTAATCTTGTACATGCCATTTTTTAGTTGTGTGAGTCCTTAAATTCAAAGATAGATCCTGATGAGCTGTGGATCAGAGAGTTGTCTGCCACCTGCCTCTGTCAAGGTCAGCCCACTGCCTACCTTAATGAAGTTTTCCTCTGTAGTTTGTGCTCCTTTCCATTTGCAAAAGGGAAGTAGTGGCCACTTTTGAGGTTAAGCAAATGTAAAAAGGGTTTCTGTTTCAGGCACTTTAATACCCTTTCAGATTTGGGTTTTGTTGCTTTTTTTGTAGTACACTATAAACCCAAGAGAGTTCCAGATCTGTTTCCATTGAATAATCATTAGTTATATTTAAGAAACATAAACTTTAGGGTTCTAAGCTTCTGCTGTTAACCAATATATTTCTCCATTGCAGCTGTATGTCTGCAAATAAAATAGTGACTCTGGTTCCCTAATATTAACCCTCCAATTCCTCTCCAAACAAAAACCAGCAAAAAGATCCAAAATGATAAAATCAAACCCTCAAAAGCCAGACTGGCTGCTTAATTATTTAAAGGTGCTTATTCAGAGGCCTGGACTTTGTTCCAGGTCTTTCCTTTCAAGTATATGGTAATGTCAGCTTTTGATAATATGTATAGTGACAATCCAAGTTTTAAATTTTATATACTCTTTTAATTTTATGCACATTTTAGATTCAAACCATCATCTTCATCGGGCTTTTCTTAGCTACACTACCACTTTTCCTGGTATATTATGTAAACATACCAGTCTCTACCCATGGGAGACAATGGTGGCATTTCAGATGCTAATACCAGATCTCAGGAAGATGTGGGCTCTGTAAAGTGATGTTATTCAATCTGAGACACATTGCCAACTCCTCTTACCAGGGAGTTCAGGAATTATCCTACGCAAGGTGAGCAATGACTGCTAGGGATCCCTTCAGCCAGGCAGAGTTGTGTGGTTTGAACAGAAAATGTATCTGGGGAACTAACTGGAACCATACTGAGCAGAAGTTTGGTTTCCTCTTCTTTTCATGGGGTGGTGTGTGGGGAGGCAATGGAGGCACTCCTAGCCAAATTTTTCTGCATTTCTTTCTTCTGTCTGTGTGGATTACAAAGCACCTGTAGGATGTACATTTGAGACAACAGAACATACTACATAGAATACTGCTGCAATATGAGGATAAAATAAAGCTTAGAAAACAATTGCTGTTTGCAGTTTGAGTTCTGTTGATGAAAAAATATGTCTAAGGGGTGTTCTCTGATCCCTATTGCTTCAGAGGTCAAGAGTGAGCAGTCTCCTTCCCAGGAATCTTTTGGCTACCATCCTGTTGCTCCCTGCAGAGCAAGATTTTTGTTCTGCTTTTCTGTTAGCACAGAAGTATCTTTCTCTGATGACAATAATGTTGCTTTCCTAAGTCACAGGATTGAAAACTTGTTTATTTTCTTTGACAGGGTCAAATATGTTCAGAAAGCCAGAGGATTTTTTTGTTTTTCTCTCTAGATTGCTGTTGAAGGGTGTGTGCTCCTGTGTGGGGTGGTTTTGAGCTCAAGCCTTCAAACCTGTGTGAATTTTTTCAGTAGTGATGTTTCTGTGACTGCTCTCTTCCAAGTGGAAGAGATAAACAACAAGTTGTCAGGGTGACAAAACTCCTTTTATGCCATTTTCTACCTTTCAGATATACCCTGTACCCTGTGTTTATGTCCTGGTTCATTTTTGCAGTAGCCAAGAGGGGAAATGGCTGAAACCCAGAGTCTGTTTTATACCCCCTCACTTCACTTTATGGGGGCAAGTGGAAAGGGTCTCTCTCAGGCTGGGGGGACCATGGGACAGTGGGCTTAGGTTCTACTCTGACCATTTGTATGTGACTTGCTGCCTCTCTCTCTTGTACATTCCTTTTATTAATATTGCTGCTGTTACTGTTTGGTTTTTAATATCATTGCTGTTTCCAGTAAATTGTTCATATCTCAACCCACGATCATCAGCTTTTTTGCCTCCAATTCCCCTCCCCATCCAGCTGCAGGAAAGAGGGAGAGGGAGGGAGGAGTTCTCATGGTGCATGGTTTGGAGTGGATTCAGTTGGAGCACTACACTGGGGAGCTCCATTCCTAAACCACGAGAGTCTATCAGTGGCCGTGCGGGTTTAGCCAAGATTCTCAGTTTTGAGTATAATATTTATTTCTGTTTTATTTTGTCTTCCTATGCTGCAATCCAAACTTTAGCAAAGTGGTAAAAAATGCCTTTCAGGCTTTCTGGCAGGAAATGCATGTAAATGAACCAGTTGGCCCGAAGTGCTTATGTGTTAAACAAATGTCATTTTCTACTTCTGAGAGCCAAGTGTGTCACCTGTGATCTGTCTAATTGCTCTGAAGGCCAGGTTTTGTACCCTTTGGCAGAGTATCTACAATGAAACACATTTTCATAAGCAAAGGCAATTGTGTTTTTTATTGCTGTATATGCCAGTTTAGAGAATAAATACTTTCCTAGGAATTAAAGAGATAATAAAATGTTGCTCCAAATGTAGAGAAGTATGCCTGGAAGTGTCAGTTGAGATAATCTATTTCCATTTCAGAAGATGATTTTTTTTTCTCTGTGATCCATGTGTGTCAGTTCATGGTTTATCTGCAACAGAGAGGTAAAAGTAGTTAATTATTTCCTGTGATCATTTAAAAATCACTGTACCTGAATCAGTTCTGATTCCCAGCTCTACCTTAATAGTGAACTTGCTAACCTTAGGCATCAAAGAAATAGATTAAATTGTATGATTAAAATTAGATTTAAATTATCTGACTGTTGATGAACATATTTTGGGTGACTTTGCTGGTTTTCCAATTTTTGATATTACCATATATCTACATAAAGGTATATCTGAATTATGCTCTCTTTTTTAATTTATAATCAAGAAAATATTTTATGTATCACTAAAGAAATGGTAATTTGTTTGTGCATTAATATGGTCACATAATAGGGTACATAAGAAAATCATCATCATCATGGGCACCTTGGTATTTCTGGGACAAATATATGATGTTGTAGCTGCTGCAAGCCTTGCAGCAAGAAAACGTCAAGGTAAGATTTCAAAATTGTATTTTGCTTATTTAAATGGTCAGTGCAACTGTATCTGCTGCATGTCTGGTCCATAGCAGGTATGACAGCTGCAAAAATACTCCCTACTAAGTCAAAAGTTATAATCATACTTTGCAAAAATTCTGGTCAAGCTTCTTTCTTTTTATCTTTACTTGAAAGTATTCACAATTTTAAGCAGTTTGAAAATGAGCCTACAATAAAGTATACAAGCCCCATTTAAAAAATTATGTTAATTCTACTAATGGTATTTTTTAATTCTTCTTCATTGCTGATATATCCTTCAACTTCTAATTATCACTTTTGGTTTTTGGTTTTTTACTTTAGGATCTGTTGATCTAGGAAAAGAATTCTTAATAGAAAATGAAGCTTGCATAGATGTTCTTTACTGGATCAAAACTAGATATCAAGGTTTGGGGGCTTTTTGTTGCTGTTGTTTTTGGGTTTTTTTGTGGAAATAAAACCTCTGAAGATAACCCAAAGGAACAGATTCATTAGATTAATAGACCAGTGTTTTTCAGTTTAACATGGTCAATATTTTTTAATATTAATGAAAAGCTGGTGTAAAGTTATGGGGTATAGAATTTTATTTTCTCTGTTCTTATGGTTAATTTTCTTTGGTTGATTGGTTGAATTGTTTGGGTTGTTCAGAGACCACCAAAATGTTCATGGTCTCTGCAGTATACCTCTTGATTATTTTTTTTTTTTTATTTCAAGTCTCCCTAGTCTTTTTTAAAAATCAAATTATGAGGCCTGGACATGAAAAATCTACTGAGACTGTTATTTTTTACTACCATCTGTGAGTTGTATTTCTTTAAAAACTGCCTTCTCCTGCTTGTTTCAGGTAATGAATCAGGATATTAAATTAAGTGCTACTTGAAGGATTAAGATACTGCTGAAACATGTAATAAATTTAAGCAATCACCATGGTGAGAATACTTCTCAAATTTAGAGCTGATCTTGTGTTCCTATTATCTTCACAGATAATTCCCATATTCCTCTATTTAAGCAGAGCAAGCAGGAGCCTCTTCTCTAAAGATACACTCATGTATGCATGAATGAATGAATGCTTCCAGGAGCCCAGAAACTCTTGCTTGTCAGCTTTCTGCATTGGCACACAAGGTAGGAAATGGCAGTGCTTTTTATCAGGACAGCACAGGTGGATGGCCTTTGTTAACTATTAACAGTGGGATGTTAGGTGATGTGTTTTTCCTGAGTGTCTCAAAAACACATTGTTATTTCAGGCTCTGAAAGCAAGCTAATGGCTTAAGCCCTGAGCTTTGGCCAGGCTAATGTAGTCTGTGTATAGCCAGAGCTGTTACAGCAAAAATGTTTCCTTTACATCCATCCAGTGTTTGTTTTCTTTTCTTACTTAACCTTTCATCTCAGAGCACAGCTCACCCTGAGTTTTATATTGCTACTGCCTGCTTTATTTCTCAGCTGTTTTCTTCCCTTCATTTCTGTTTGTCTCCTAAGGAAATGACAAACCAGAAACAGTTGAGTGGTCAAGTGTATCGGAAATAAAGCAAGCTGATGCATGTGGCATGGTTCAGTGGATGGAGCACTTTATTCTGCATCTGAAAAATGTTCTCTCTGTGCCACTCATATTTTTTTTCTTTTTGCAGTGCTGAACAAAGTATTTCATCTTAATTTAGGCAGTAGTCAGACGGCCTATGTGACTTTTGAGAACTTTGAAATTCAGGTTTGTAACATACTATTTTGGTATAGATGTACCTTTAACTAAATGTGGGAGGCGACTGAGTGGGTCTGTTTATACATGGCTGACATAAAGTGGAAAGAATAGCTAACAAAACAGTCTAATTTTCTGGAACCATTTCCCTGGGGAATATATTCTTGTCTTTTATCTATAATAGTTCAAGTGTGTCATTTTCTTCAGATCATCTCCCAAAGAACATCTTAAATTACATGATAACTGAGGACAGAGGTCATGGAGGATGCAGAACCTTGCATCTGCTGCAGAAGTGTTGTGTTATTCATGCCCTGTTTCCTGCTGTCAGAAGAGCAATCCCATGAGACAAATGTTCTCTACAGGACAGAACTGCAAAACAATGGTGCACGACTGATGCCTGTCCTGCTGCAGCTGTGGGCTCCACACCAACTTCAGGCAAGACTCTATTTCACAGGTGCTGGGCAGAGTGATGCAGCCACATCCAAGTGATCCTACATGAAGCCAGTGGGGGTCTGGATGGGCTTATCCAGCCTGGTCTAGTGCAGCATCTGTTGTGCCTGACCTGAGCTGGATTGTGCAGAGCCACTGGTGCTCTAGTATTACCTGGCCCAAAAATACTGTGAAGAGAAATTCAATGAGTCTCTGAAGTGACCTGCAGGGAGCCAGTCCAGCAGGGCTTGATGATTGCAACAGTTTGGGGATGGAAAGAACAGCACTGACACAATGCTTCACCTGATCTGGTGAATCCAGCAGGACTGGAGCAGCTGAGCCTGCTTTGGTTTGCAATGAGGGCTGCAGGCAATGAAGCTGATTTATAAGACACTGTCATCCACAGGTCATTTAAGCTGTCATCACAATTGTTCTGACACTGAGGGTGCCAACACAACCTAAGTTTGGGGTCTTCTGATTTTTCATGGAGTAGATGCTTGGCTTGGGAAAAATAAAGCAAGCAACAGATAAGCTTTGGGGCAGGGGCTATTGTTCTTCCCTTTCCTTAACCAAAAAAACTCCAAACCAAACCATGTCTCTCCAGAAAGCCAAGATAAAACCTGCTAAGGCAAAAAGATATTATGCTGATAAAGCAGAGTGCTTGAAAGAAACGTGTATTCATTATATTTGGAACAGATGGAGATCAGCAGGAAAGTTTTAATGGACTACAAAACCGGTAAAGTTTTTTGAATTTGTGATTATACTGTCTTGTAAAACTCGTAATTGCCTCAAAGTGTAGTGAGTGGGCCTAAAACACATTCACATTGGTAGTAATGTGTACTGAATTTAATAGACCCTGAGTCAGAATTAACTTGGATATGTTGAATTTTAATGTTAAACAATGCTTCTCATAAAACACTTCAAATGCAGAAAGCTGGAGACTGAAGAAAAAAAAACATAAAAACAAAGCAGGTTTCTGGTAGCTATTAATTTGTGAGACAGCACTTAGAGAATACTTCCTTGTAGACTCACGACAAAAATAAAGTGAAAAAAATGGACTCAAAGTTGCAGGGCTGCAATGTAATGTGCACTGTGATTCATACCTATTGTTGTGAAGGTGCTAGAATTAAATAAAGGAACTGAATGTTCTCATTGGAATTCCCTTGATAGATTAAGATGCAAATGGCTGTAAGTAAAGGATGGTATCAGAAAAGAAATGCAATAAAGCATCAAATCTTTTCAACTAAGCCATCATTTCATCTTGCAGATAGTTAGGGACAGAAAAAGTGAAGTCATACATTAGTTATTCTCCCTTTTTTCTAAAGGAGATATCAGCAGGTAGAAAATCCAGAATAGTTCTCAATTCTTTTTGTTCCATCTCTAGGTGGCAATAAGAAAGCATTTCTCTTATGAAGGATTTTTTTCTTCCTTATGTGATACTACCTGGCTTGGGACTTTTGGCACCATTTGCAGATTTTCATGAAAAGGCTTGTAAGAAAAATTAGCAATTTCTCCTCTTGTCTTAAAAAAGGCAGCAACTGGTGATAGCTGTGCTCAGAGAAGCTGAAGAAGGATGTAGGCTTAAGCTGCTAAATGGTGCAGTGTGAGATGTCTCTGACCACCTGTCCACCAGTAAGCAGTACGTGAATTTTCCTTTTGGGAAACTGGACCATTAGCTTTTGGGAGATACTTTGCTCATTCTTTTAGTTTGTGTGGCCTCTGCCAGGGCTCTTGAGTGTTTTTTCGGTGGCTGTCTGAAGCTGATGTTCCTGGCCATGTTCTAGGTTGGGAAAGTTGGGAAGTGGGAAAGTGCAAGCATATACTGGCCCCCTTTCTGTTCCCTGTTGGCCTTTAATCGAGGAATCATCAAAAACATTCTGATATGTCCAGATGACTGCACATCTTAAAAAAAAAAAAAGGGAAGCTGCCCATAGAGAGGATGATAACTTAGTATAACTTAGCCTTAGTATAATCATTCCTACATGAACATCCAAGGTGTATTTTGTTGACTTTTTGGTTTTTATAAAGATGAAAATACACTAAACTGTTCAAGAGACCTTCCATGAACTTGATGATATTAATGTGTGACCACTTCCTAGGGAAACCCGTTCCAGTGCCCAACCACCGTCTGGGTAAAGAACCTCCTCTGACTATTTCATGCCTTTGTTTTAATTAATATAATAGCATGTAAATAATGTATTTATGCAGATCAGATTGTTGAGAGACTTTGGTTTAGCAATTCACTTTCTTGTTGTCCCACAGAATCATAGAATCATTCAGGTTGAAAAAGACCTTTGAGATTATTGAGTCCAAGCATGAATAAAGCACCACTGTGTTCACCACTAAACCTTAACCCCAAGTGCTACATCGACATCCAGAAGTGTTATTGGCTTACAAAGCCAATATTTATTTTGCTAATTCTGTGCATCTTGCTATAAAGTGAAACAAATAACTGCTCTGTATAAAAAGTAAAAAATAATATTCTCATTTAGAATATGTGTAAAACAATTTTCAAATTTCTTAGAATAGCAGATAACTGCATTTTCATAGGATATTGTATAAATGGATAGAAAAAAACAGGCCCTTGGAGACCAGCTAATCTGGAAAAAGAACAGAACAGAACTGCTCAATGATCAGTAGTAGGAGGAATTATGTAAGGTTTCTAAAGTGAAAATGAATGCCTCTTCTAGAAAAAAAATCCTTTCGCTATAATATATAAAGATAGCTGGCAAATTCTATTATAAGGAAAAGGTATTTAGGTACGAGGGACCTGAAAACATTTGAGTGGTTCCTCTCATCAAGAGTTCTTGAATTTGCATTGGGTATTATACCAAAAAGCCTTGCAACATGGGTAGAATGACTTAACACCACAGTTACTCTAAGTAAATATAAAGTTCTGCTTTTTAAAACAGGAAATTCTATAGCTTTTAAACATCCCTGGCCTCCAGCAGTGTTTTCTTCGTATTGCTTTTGTCATTACTACCAAGGATAGCATCTCCTCTAGAAATCTTACAGCTTAGACTGCCTCTATCTTAGTTTCCATTTTAGCTCCTCTAAGAGTTTAGATCAAGCTAGGAACTTATATATGCATTATATAACAAGCAAAACTATTAATGTTGACTTTTTTCTTTATGCGTTGGTTCTATGTGTGCAATTCAAGTAGCAGTATCAGGATTCTTTCCCCCCGAGAAGAGTGAAGATCTGCTGAACAGGATGTAGAGAGAGCTGAGCTTTGTGGAGCTCACTGGGGACCCTGTGTGGTGTGTGTATGCCCCAAGATGCATATGAAGAGCAGTGACCCAGAATCATGTTTCTTCCCTCTTGCCTTTGAGGGAAAAAATAAAAACAAACACCTTGACACACCTGTTAGGTCAATTTTATCTCCTGCAGGGATTCAGCCTGCAGTATGTGAGATAAAGTGTGAGCTAAAGCATTTGAAGAAACACATTTCAATGAACTTTGAACAGTCTCTTGAAATCAAAATTTACTAAGTGGATTAGATATAAAAGGAGCGACATAAAGTGCAGCCCATTGAAGAGTAAAGGATCCTCTCTTTTCCACAAGTTTCATCATGATAGCTTCAAGAATATATTAATATGAGCCATCAGGAGTGCTGCTAGGATCCCAAGATGAAGCTGTCAAGTAACATCTGCCTAAAAGGGACTTGCTTCATTACTTTCAAACCTTTCCATTTCTCATTAGGTCTCACCAGATGGGGATTCAGTATTTTTGAAGTCAGTCACCCTGTATGAAGTAGTTTGTTCATGACACTGATGAACAATTATCTACCTGTACAGCTGGGACTTCTAGGCTGTTTATTTCAACTGAGTGTCAGTACAGGGCACAACTTGAGCATCTGATGATAAAAAAATTGAAATGCAGAGGGTGAGTTTGATTGAATAGGTGCATGAATGAGTTTGAAACTTTTATATAATAATTCTGTCATTAATTTCCCTGTAATATAATCCATTGTAATAATGCCATGTAAGAATTTGCTACATGATTTTATTTATTTTAATCTTCAAGTAGAGAAAAATAATAATTATAAGTTCAAAAATGTTGTTCCAATTCATCCGGTAGAAGATAACTACTGTGCATAATAACTGTTGCATTTCTGTTGGTTGATAAATGTTTAATGGTTTGTTAGGAAACTAATTGTCAGTTTAAATCAGGAGAGTGACAATAATAACTCACTTAGATACTCACATTGTGACCTGCAAAGGCAGCTATAAATGTAATTCATTCTAATTTTTGTTTATAGTTGATGGGTACAAATATATGACAAAGCCCCTTGAAAAAGAATTCCAATCTCTATTGTAATGTTTCTTTTGTATTTTCTGTTCTTCACAACTTTTGTTATAAATAGAATAAACCAAAACATTGTTGCATGTACCATGTGAATAACCTACCGATGAGGTTTGTTCTGGATGACTCTATGCAGTATCAGAATTTAAAAGTGATTAAAAACCTTGAATAATAATCTAAGTTATCTTTATTTTCTCACATTGTACAATTAAATCAAACCACATAGGGAAAACCAAGTGTCTCTGCATGTACAAACACACATATACCTATACATGTACACATGCACAAAAAATTCACAGTGGAAATGTATTTGAAAAACAAAATCAAGTGAAGTTAAAATAACTTCCCCTGATATCAAAAACAGTCATATTTCAGAATCAGATGTTGTCTCACTCTGTGCTGAACAAATTATATTTTCTTTGACTTCAATAGGAAAAGGCCTCTAAGGAGACTTTAGACAATAACCCTGAAGTATCATGGATGATACTGGACAGCAAGAGGCAAGCAAGGTTTTCACTGAAAATGTAGGCATAACATAATTGTAAACACCACTTTGGAAAATGTACTGGTGTACTTAATTAGCTGCAGCAGGACACTGAAATTTGTAAGGTCCTTACTTGCCCTCAGTGAAGAAACTGGAGGAGGAGACTGTGTCAAAAGTTTTCTTATCCCTTCCTGGCACAACTGGCCAATGGTCTCTTTCAATAGCGGAGGGATTTGCACACTCATTTATGCCCCTTTTCAGGAATATTTCAACTGGCTGCATAGGGAAAAGTGAGGTAAGGCTTCCCTTCTCTTACAGTATGATGAGAATTGAGACCAGTGTATGGAAAATTAAGCTGTCAACTTCCTCACTTGTTTTCCAAGTAGGTTGAAGAACCTACAACAAAGATCTTACTTTGCAGTTCTACTCTGAGCAGGAGAAACTTACTTTTCCATTTCTTTTTTCTCCCTCTTATATGCTTACCTAACCAACCCTGATGCCTCTGAAGAACAAATTTTGTGGTCTGAGGGGAAAAAACAAAACCTCTATTTAAGATTCTAGAATTAAATACTTAATTACAAATCTTGATGTTATTAATAAATGTTATTTTCCTAAAGGAGCTCTGAGGTCAATCAAGGTTTTCAACTTAAATTATCCAGGAACTATTGAGGGAACACATTTTTCCAGTGAAATTTCACTCTTACAGACTAGGCATTTCTGTACGGTCAGCTAGTACATTAGTTCAAACATACAGGAACTTTAAAAGTAGTATTAGAGAAAAGTCTAAACAACTTGTCCCTGAACATTTCTCTGAAACATGATGGAAATTCTTCTCCAGTTTAAGTCGACCAGAATTTCCCACACATTTCCTGAAGTTCCAAGTATCTAAAGTAAAAGTAAAAAGGAATGTTTGTAAAAAGTAAAAAGGAGTATCACAGAGGCACAGAATCTGCTAAGCTGGATGTTTACCCCTTTTGCAAATGAGGCAAGAAGCAGTACCAGCAGGAAAAAAAAAATGTGTGCAAATCAGCAGCACAGAAAAAAACCACACTGAAGTGGAATGGAAAGAAGATAGTGCAGGTTGACAGATGGCAAGGTTTGCCTGACCTTGCAGCGGCGAAGAGACTCATGTTTGACAACTCCTAGAGGAACCAGGATCAAGAGCTGTATGTAATTGGCCCTCACAATTGGCATGTGGACTAAATGACGATTCTTTATGTACTGTGTTAACAAAGTGCAAGAAATGCATCTTTCAATCTTTGTGTGCTACTCTCAATTCCTTAGTGGTTCATTCTTGGCAGGTTACAGCCTTGTAATATTTCCAAAGTGGTAGAGTGACAACTCTTCTGACTTAATGGTGAGATCTAGTAAATTGAGGTTCTGCAGATTACTCATACTGCCACAGGAGGATAGAAGGACTTAATTTCATCACTAGTAGTAACTCTTTATAGCTCTGCCATTTTAAGGATGGCAATACAAGCCATAAACTGACTTCCACAAGCATCAAAAAGCAGAATGAGTTATTCCAGGCAAGAAGACTATAGTACTGTATTGGTAACATCTGTCATTTTTGTTTCTTCTGCATCAGTATACTTTGTTGTTCCATATACTGAAGGAAAAGAGGTTGGTGGATCTGACTGTAAGGCCAAGGTCAAATATAAGAGCTAAATTCAATGTTTCTACAGTTCAGGGAAAGGCTGTGAATTTCAGTGGATTCTGGTGGTTTCTGCTGCAGAACTAATAAACATGCATATTAGCATCTATTCTAAAAAACTTGATGCCTGTAATGGCAGTAGATTTTTTTTTTTTAATATATGCGCTCTCTCTATTAAGAAATAATTTTTAAAATATGTGGTTTTGTGCACATTTGAAAACTGACCATCTTGAATAGCAGAGACGTCTTGTGCATACTTGCATAAAAGTGAAAAATCAATATTTCTACACTTAATTTATTTTTGTTGACATTTTCTGAAATACAATGTTAATCTGCTAGCTCTCAGGGTCTGTTTTGCTCAAGTTGGATTGCAGGTTGTTGAGTACTGTTAACTTAAAACATGGTCTTCTCTGGCAAAGGTGAAGTAAAAAGCTGTTCTCATTTCCCATTTAGATGCCAAAAATAATTTATAGAAGCAGTTTAATTTTCTTAAGCATTTGGTTAAACATTTTTACTTGATTTTTATAATGAAATAAAGTATGCCTTGATTAAAATGCAGGCTGTGAGCTTTGGCAGTTTTACTAGCAATTTGTGACACTTGCCTTTTTTCTCCCATGGCTAGACTGTTTCATGTATAATTTACTGTGACAAAACACTGGCCCTACTTATTGTCTATAAATACAGGCCCATTAGAAACATGTCTGAGGTGTAGCTTTAATGGCTGCATAATGTTCTTGGACCCACAGTTAATGGAATAGTTACTTTTTGGTTAAAAAGGCAGGGAAGCAGACGCATTGCTCCATAAAATTAGTTTATTGTAAATGTACGGATATTTCATGACAAGAACAATGATTTGCATCTACTTGCAGACAAATATGAATTCTTCTTATCTCGGTCATATGAATACACTTGAAGGTTTATTCAAGGTTCATCTTATGACAAGCATGATTTATCTGTCTACATTTGCTGCATAAAGCAGAGTAAAGGCAGTGAACTTCCTTATGAAACTGTAAGTAATGTCTGAAGGTATGAATTAGACAGATTTTGATAAATGCAGATTATTTCCTTTCAATACACAGAGCACGGGAAAAATCACCTACAGCAAATGAGTGAGTAGGAGCTAGATAAATATGCAGCACTCGAGGAAAATCCATAGTTTATGAAAAGAATCCAATATCATTTACTGTCTTTTTGCCTTGTCTTAATTACAGACCTGCAAAGCTAAAAAGTTTAAAATGAGCACAGTGAAAAGTCAGGTGTGCTAAAGAGATCACTCCAACTGAGGTAACACTTGAAAGGAAGAAAGCATGGGCTTACTTCCCTTTTAAAAAATATAATCAAAAGAAAACCAAATCAGAACATCTTTCAAGCTTAAATATCTCATTATCTCTCAAACATAAATCCCATCAGAAGAATTTTTACCTACTCTCTGTGTTTCCAAAAGTATTTGAAAAATACTTTTTCTAGTCTAGACCATAGAATGTTAAGGGTTGGGAGGAATCTTAAAGATCATTTAGTCCCGGCCTTACCTGATAGGAGCAGGGATACATCCTCCTAGATAAGGTTACTTAAGGCCTTATTCAAGCTGGCTTTGAACATTGACAGGGTTGGGGCATCTGTAACCCCCCTGGGCAACTGGTTCCAGTTTCTCATCACCTTCACAGTAAAGATTTTTTTCCTAATATCTACCCTAAACCTGCCTTCTTTCAGTTTATACCCGTTACTCCTTGTCCTATTGCTGAAGTTCCTGAAGGAGAGCCCCTCTCTGGTTCCTCTGTAGGACCTTTTCAGACACTGGAAATCTGCTGTGAGGTATTCACACAACGTTTTCTTCTCCAGGTTGAACAGCCCCAATTATCTTAACCTTTGTAAGAGAGGTGCTCTGGTTCTCTTCCCAATACTTTGGCTTTCCTCTGAACTTGCTCCAACAGTTCCATGTCCTTCTTCTAGGGGCACCAGAACAGAATCCAGCACTCCAGGTGGGGTCTCACAAGAACAGAGTAGAAGGGAAGAATCACCTCCTTCAACCTGCTTGGCCACGCTTCTTTGGATGCAGCCCATGATTCCCTTGGTTTTCAGGGCTGTGAGCTCACACTGCCAGCTCATGTGGAGCTTCCCACCACCACCATGCCCAAATCCTTCTTTGCAGGGCTGCTCTCTTCTCCGCCCAACCTGTAGGTGTGCCTGGGATTGCCACAACCCATGTGCAGGACCTCGCACTTTGCTTTGCTGCACTTCATGAGGTTTGCCCAGCTCCCTCTGAATGGCACCCTTTCCCTGCAGTCTGTGACCTGTCATAACTCTCTGACTTTTGGATAAAAAAAGCAGATTTTTGGCATTTATTTTGAACTTAAACTTGATTATTCCTAAAAAATTGTACCATTCTATACCCCAGTTGCAGGTCCAAAATTTGTGCAGCTTCTTGGCAAAGTCATTAAGTCATGCAATACATCTCCCTGCACAGCCATTTCATTAAAATTGGAATTTCTTCTGTTTTCACATCCACTTCATGCTAATAGCAGTTAGTTTCATGCTTGCCTGATCGAACTTTGTACCATTTCAGAAGTTTTTCCTCACTTACATATATCAGCCCTGTATTAGAAATGAACAGCAATTCACAAAGGAAATTATTACTACCTTCTGTGTGGGTGAAACTGCACAGCTACTGCATCAGCTTTTAAGAAGGGGTGTTATTTACAAGGCTTCACCTTTTGGGCCATCTATGAGGCTTTGAAAAAAGTTCTCCTTTAGCTATTCAGTGAGATTTAAAGAGCTTGTGATACATAAATATGTCTAATGTTGAAATGAAATAGGTTAGAATGGGCTGAATAAAGCAGAAACCAACGAAGATAGGGATCAAATTATCCCGTAAAGGAGGTTATATATTGGTTGCCAAGTTTTAGTAATCTCACCATCTCCTTGTAAGACTTCAAGAAGAACTTGAAAATATATCTGTGTTAGGAAAACTCAGAAGATGGCTGTTATCAATGCAATTAACCTTCTTAGCTGACAGCATCACTTTCAATGCTGACAGTCT